ACCATAACCTGACGTCCTAACCATAACCTGACGTCCTAACCATAACCTGACGTCCTAACCCCTAACCTGACGTCCTAACCATAACCTGACGTCTTAACCATAACAGAGTGAGGTTAGCGCTGGTTTGCTGCTCGTTTATGAGCTGGTCAATCAGGTTTAAGCGGGTAATGTCATGAATGGGTAACTGCCTGCTTTGTGTTTCTATTGACCACGCTTTTCTGACACAAATCTTATGAATTCGTTTGATTTATGATGCTAGCGTTCTAAAAAACAGATGTGTTTGATGGAAACATTGCTTGCATCAAACGTTATGATGCGAAAGGGTCAGGTATATCGGAGGTGTCCCATCTGATCATCACAAATTTTGATGAAATTCCACACATAGATTGGTTTATATTTCAAGCAAACTTTGCTAAAAATTAAGCTAAAAAAATGAAAAATTAGTAATATTACATGACATTGAAAGGATTTGTTTACATACAGTATATGTAGTGCATGTAATAAGGAGCCGAGCACAAAATTTCTCTGAATAATTTTTAATTCGATTTTTCAAAAGGAAAACCATCTTTCCATAATTAATCTACGTTATAGTATAGAATTTTTCTTTCTAATAAATACTGTTTCAATGAAAAAGGCATTGATGAACCATTTTCTGGTGTTCAAATATTGTTGAAAATGGCTTCGATGTTTCTATGAGCAAGTTTAAAATATTTTTATTTAAAAACAAACAAAATTATCAGTCAATATCTCGCATATATTGTTACCCACGTAGATAATGGACTACACCAGCATCAATAGTGTAACGGACTACACCAAGGTAATGGACTACATCAGGCAAAAATGTAATGGACTACAATCAGGTAATGGACTACGCCAGGCAGCAAACTCTTAAAATTTTTCCATTTTTGGCCAAGTTTGATCTCATTCTACACAAAAGTATCAACCATAACTATTGCAACTAATTTTTTAAGAAGCGCATCTATAATTTCTACAGACACCGCTATTTTCACCGGCTTGTATATCTACGCCACAGCAATGATCTGAAGTTGGAGTTTTTGCGCCGTGCGAGTGGGAATTGTCAGGTTTTAGAATTGGCATCCCGAATGTCCCCAGAGGTCGTATTTTTCATCTTGAACACGTAAAAATCATTAAGTCACATTGTTCGTTTATGATTAAACCATTTACGAAAGTCAACGGCTAATCTGTAAATCGTCGATGTAAATAGATTTACGGCTACTTAGTGAAGACCTACAAAATAGCAAGTGGTATAAAAAGTAAGTTCATTAAGTGAGTTATTTTGACCCATTCATTTCCCTCAATGTATTCCTATTACTGATAGATTACTCCTCATTACGTTATTCTTTTGTTATAAAAATAACGTTGCTGATGACGGTTAATATATAAGTTCCTTTTATATAAGTTATTATTCCATATCCATGCAACTTTTATACGATTTACTATTCAATACTTTAAGTATAATGATTGAGTTTTTAATAATGCTACGTGCTTCCCTAATGCATGCTAATAAATTGATTGACAGAACATTGCTCATTTTCCAGTATTATTCTCGTAATAATTTTTATATTCGGAATCAAAAATGAGAGCTGTTTAATTAGGACAACTTTTCCAATGAGCTTCCATGGTTTTAGATTTACAAGTTTGAAATTGCCTTTGTTTGAAGTTTGAACAAAATGTTAGATTTTTTGCGTGAGTTTAGAGATTATCCAATACAGTTAATAGTTCAGTACATATCATTGCGTTTCTGTGAATGATCAAATCAAGCTTACAAAAAAGTATTTTTAAAAGTATTTCAAGTTAGTGAAATCCTATGCAGGTACAATTTTAATTGAAGAAAGACCACAAATACAATATTAGAGGGGCAAACAAATATGCATGTATTATTGCAAAGGTACATTCTGAGATTTATTCTTATTTATTTATCTAGAGATTTCTGGCACCTTCCCTAGATAGGATCTCCCACTTTGAAACTGAGCCAGCGTTTATTATCGACACTCCGATCCGATAGCGATCCTGTACTGTGTGATGTTCTAATAGCGATCCTGTACTGTGTGATACAGGATCGCACGAATTTGGACGGTTAGTTTATTGCCTGCAATGAACAGTTCCGCTGCTGTTATCGATACTGATCAAGATAAACGGATTAGGTGCGCCGTTATGAATGTGGCTCCTGATTGTTACATTCTGCTATGTTATGACAATGCAATAAATTCTATAGACTAAAATCACACCATTGAATCAAAGATCACGAAAAATAACTCATTGCCCACATACTTGAACTTTTAAAACATACGCCAGAGATTTCATTGGAAAAAATACTGGTAAAATTAATTGTTGCTTGTATGGTTGCAAAAATTTGCAAATTTTCACAATATCTACTTAAAAATGACGTAACGTGCAGCATTCAATTATTAAAACTACTTGACATCCCAGAATTAATCACAACTATCGTTTCCGAATGAATGAACAGTTCTAAAATTTGAAAATACACTTGTTGGTATTCTGAACAGAAAGTTCCATCGCACCTGTTCCATCGCACGAAATGTTCCATCGCACCTGGTATCCTGGCATCCTTCAATATACTGCAGTTGTTCCCAAGTGTGGCAATAGGACACTTGTTTACTGTTCTTTTCCCTACTTTGGCCCCGCATCTGAGACTATGTCAAAAAAATTTCAAAAATGATTTGCTAAATATCTTCCGGATGTAAATCTTCATGTGCTGCTAGTTAACAAATTTAGAATCGGCTCGGTTTTCAGATTAAGGATACCCTACCTGTTCACATGCGATCGTCACTAGTGTACAGATATAGTTGTGCACAGTGCGCATTAGCGTACGTCGGAATGACATCACGCAACTTCTATACTTAGGCTGGCTGAGCATAAGGGCAGGAGTTATAGAACGGAGAACCTACTTGCACATCCACCTCATTCTGCTGTACGTGTTCATGCCGAGCAGTGCAACGCCTCTCTATCTGATAGTGCTTTTGAAATTCTAGCTTCCACGTCCGGTGTTACTGATCTACGAATTTTAGAATCCCGGTATATATTCAAACGGAAGCCTTGTCTGAATGTCGCTTTTTGCCCCTTTCCTCTCGAAATAGTAAATAGATAGGCCGTTTACTAGCGTTAATTTCATGTCATATTTATTTATTTTCCGTTTTTAAACCAGACAGTGCATTTTACTATACTAATTGATTGTATTTGTGTTTCTAGGACTGAACTTCTGAACAGAATTTCGTGTTATGAACTGACGAAGAAGCTGGACTCCGAAACGTTTTATCTTATAAAGACTTGGTGAACTTTTGTGGCATTGTCTTTGCTTTTAAATTCCTGCTTCATAACTTATCATCAATTCCTGCTTTATAACTTATCGCACCGCCCCCCTGGGGGCGGTGGAAAGGTCTGGGTGGCCGGTGAGGAAGGAGAGGGTGGTGTAGGAGGGCTGCCGTCCGAAGTCGAAGTCAGAAGTTCGAACGTTTGTTTGACGATTTGTGCACAGCTCGTGCAACACTCGGCTCCCAGCAATGGGTTTTCCCACCCAGATCTGTTTTTTAACCTATCCTGGGTTTCTAGTGTAAACATTTGAAAATATTCAAAATATGGATTTTTTGTGCTTCTGTGGAAATATTATGTGTCTGTGGAGGGCGCTAGCAATTAACAGGGGAGCCAAGGAGGCGCCACTCTTGCAAAAGTTTGGGAACCACTGATAAACTGCGTATAGACGGTAACAATTTCCGTTTTAGTCAGTACAGTGTCCTATTACCAATTTTGCCTACAACTAATGATCACGTAATACGTAAGTTAAAATTATAAGCCGCAAAATGCTCGGATGCTTAGTTTGGCTATATGGTTTACGAGAACACAGTATAAAATTGAACAGATATTGGAGTGCTTCATTGTTTGTTATTTAGCTTGCTTTGGCGACCAATGGAAGTGTGACGACCAACACTGCATCGCTCGCGCTGCGCGCTGCAACGGTATAAGAGATTGCCCTGACGCCTCAGACGAGCTTTTCTGCAACCGTGAGTGGTGGTAGTCCAGCTTTGATTTGCATCGAACTGACCATTTCATGAGCATAATTGAAATACCGTAGCGCCACTTTGTATAGGATTGCACAGCTGCTTATAGTGGAACTTCAATATGTTGGATGGCTGAATTATCACGATTGTCATGGCGAGAAATGATCAGGAAATATTTTAATTTTTTAAAACCATTGTAAGCTGTACTGTCACGTGGTACAAATAAGCTCATATTTTAGAGATTCTTTCGTTAAGACCTACTTAAAGGAAGTATTGATCAAATGACTGCACCACCTCCTCAGATCGCTGTGAACCGCACGAGTTTCAGTGCAACAATGGGCGCTGCATTCTACTGATGTGGCGTTGTGATCTCGACAACGACTGTGGAGATGCCAGTGATGAGGCCAACTGCGGCCTCTTAATGCCTTGACTTCACGTTTTCGTCGACGAGAAAATGCTCTTTCTGTCAATCAGTGCAGTGAGTGCTGAGTTATATGTTTTTAATACCTAATTCATCTGGTAACACAACAGGCTTCAATTACAAGTAAAAAATCTTCTCCTTTCTATTGATACGTTATCAGTCCATTTGAAACGCAGCGTCACCGTGGGCTTTACGGAAAGCTTATAGAAAGTTGGTCTACAATCAGCTTCCCAAATGTTCAAAAGCAAAGCACGGTACTAGGAAGCTCAAAATTTAAACTCTAAATTGAACGTTCAACCTTTTCAACCTTCAGGCTGTGGTGTTAATATATGGGAGGTTAAAGAACGTCTTATCGTGAAATGAGTTAAATATCAAAATATGTATATTATTTTTTCATTCGTATTTCACCGTCACGATTATTTTTTCATCCAACGAAGTTCAAGGTAGAATTATTTTTTCTCGGTATCAGGAGACGTGTGTCCTCCGAGGTATTTCACCTGCCACAATGGCCAGCAATGCATCGCTCGGTCACATCACTGCAACGGCCGCTCGGAGTGCGGCGACGGGTCCGACGAACTGGGATGCGTGGCCGCGAACATCACGCAACCGCCGCCCATCTCCCACGCGGCGCCGCTTTACTCCACTTTCGAACTCACATGCCAGGCGAACGGAGTCCCTCTGCCCGTCATCGTCTGGAGGTTCAACTCAAGGCACCTGCCGTCTAATTGCGTCCAAACGAAGTAAGTGTTGCAAACCGATTCCCAGAGTAACCTGAAGTTGTTAACATTTGCTATATTTTTTCGTATTTAAAATAAATTCATTTTTCAATAGATTAAATTTCAAACCCTCAAATTCTACGTGCTATTATATTGCAGCAACAACGGGCGCAGCACCATGCGTTGCGTTAACATCAACCGATCGAACCAAGGCACCTACTCCTGTGAGGCTCATAACATCTTGGGCAGCGCGATGGCTCAGCCAAACACATATTTGGCAATAAGAGAGAAACCTGAGATTTGCTTCCCTCCGTCCTTTAACGATAATGCCGACACTTTAGACGAGTGTATCGAGTGTTTCTGTTTTGGGGCATCCAAAACATGTACTTCTAGTAAACGTACCAAGGCTCGGGTAAGTCTTATTTTTTTGCGTCACGTTCAATACATGCTCGTAGTCTCTAAACATATATTTCATTGAAAACAAAACACTGATATTATTTTGATTATTAGGATTGTGGGAAGTTTAATGATGTATAATTATATAAATAAATTGAAATAAGCGGACTTGGCATAAATTAATTGATAAATTGATACAAATTTGTATGATATAAATTAATCGTAGTAGATCAGCTTTAATTTTCCGGACTGAACTTAAAGAGCATGTCCAAAAATTTAGCATAATTAACGGTTTCTTCCCATCGACAAATATTCTAATCTCAAACATTTTTGGCTACTTCTGACACGGTTTGAGTCAGTAGTTTTATACACAAGCTTCTCATCAAAGTAATCTTCTCTCAGTAATAGAAATATTTTATTTCCAGTTTCCTTTGCCCGAGGACGTTAAACTGGATGTCGTATCCCCTCACTTCACCCACGAGCCGAGGGGCAGGACCAGTTCGTTAGACAACTCACCTGGTTACTCAGGCAAGACTGTGAGTTCAACCAGAGAACGATGTGCTTGTTATTTACCAGGCCATTTACATTGATAACAATGAATCAATGTTGATTAGTATTCATCAGCCTTACAGTGCACTGTTTAACTCGCAAATAACGAGCCGTCTCCACTTGTTTATGCTCGTAATTTGTACATGTAATGAATAAATTAAAATGACATATATCACGAATCCCTGGTTAAAGAGTCGTGATTTGAGGTTTGAATAGCCATAAACGAGGAAGGATGGGACAGTTAAGGAAAACACAATGGGTTTGGCCCAAAGAACACAATAGTGTTTACCCAAATTAAGAAGTTTATGTCCAAGCAATATACTGAAGTTGTTCCCAAGTGTGACAATAGGAACGTTGTTTACTGTTCTTTTCCTTACTCTGGTCCGGCATCTGAGATTATATCAAAGGAATTCATTACTGATCAGGCATTATGAAAGGCATTACTGATCAGCAACAGGAATCATTAAGCATTGCCAGGCTTCACTGAGCATTGTCAGGCATCACTGAGCGTAATAAAATGTTGAAGAAAAGCAGCTCAGTGGAAAGGTACTTTCAAGGTGGCTGTATAAAGAGACACAATTGCAGTGTTAATCGCTGGTTCGAGTGAAGGTCAATGTACAGTTTTTTAGGTGTAAAGTTTCAATTAAGTGCAATGAGATCCAGTTGATTTCTTGTTTAGGCGCGAATTGTTCCGGAGAATTACAATGAAGCCTTCCATTATATGAAGGCTGTTTAAGTCCGGTTTGTGACGTAGCATTCTGGTGTTCGGCACCAGTTCTTCCCGGATGATTTGGTCTTGTGGCTGTCCATTGCATTCTTTTTATGGTTATTCAGAAGCTAGTTGCGCTATGACAGTTGCAAGCCATCGATCGTGTTTGGATGCGGCGACCCAAAATTTGACTCTCACCTTGCCGCTAAGACGTACTGAGAGCGACTCCCTCAACGAATACCAAAGCAAACAACCTGCACCTTAAAGTCACGAGCAACTCTCCCGTATCCACTTATTGCTTCATCACCATCGAATATCTTTCATCTCCGTCATCTCTATCCATTCCCGCGCTGGTCTTGCGACCATGTTAATAAAATGTAAAAATATAGTTAGAAAAAATAAATGAACAAATAAAAATAACAACATAATAAATAAAATAAAAAACTATATAATAATAATAAAATAAATGAATACTGCAAAAAAAATAATAATACAAAATAAATACAAATAAGAATGACGTGCAATGGCAAGTGTGAAAATGTAAAACCTGGAAACTTGTAAATAATGTATAAAAATAAGCCAAATTATCTTCAACTTTCAGTGTTGATAGGAATTTGCGTCAATGAATTTAATTGCAGTATCCTCACTCGCAGCCGACTGTGGTAGAAAGCTCCACGGCCTCCGCATATTACTTCAGCCTGCCTTCAATGTACCTGGGCAACCTCCTCAACTCCTACGGCAGCCGCTTGCACTACCAGACGCTCTCCGCTGCTCCCACTCTGCCCTTCTCTTACCCTGACGCCGTCATCTCGGTGACAAAGATAATTAATTTTTAGGCTGTCAATTCCATGTCTGTGTCTAGCGGCTGTCTATTTCCAACACGCTGAAATAAATTTTCGTTGATTATGAGGATTTTTTTAAGCAAACCTTAAATGAAACAAATGTTTAGAAATCCATGTCCTATTACGACTTCCTGCTTCAATTGAGTTTGTAATCATGATTTAATCCACAGTGATTTGGAGATCGTGAATGAAATTCCCTTACAAATATTACCTGGGGTGGACTCAACTTAGACAACTTGACTTAGACAAATCTCTATGTATTCAGTCATTTGCTCTAGTTAGAAAACTAGACATTTTCTTACGGAGGTGTCTATGATTATTTTACAGTGACATAGTTCAAATTACTTAATTGCACTTTATAATTTTTTCCATGTCACAGGGCAACAACGTAACTTTAGTGTACTACGCCACGTATGGCTACGGGCAAGCCGTGCGACAGAACCGGTCCGTGCCCCTGGACCCGAACGAATGGTATCTGGCCGCCGAAAAACGCATCACTGCCACCAGGCATCACATGATGGTCGTCCTCCAAAACACCACCAGATTCCTCATCAGGTAAAATCGCGCGTCATGCATATAAGTAGTTGATTGTAACCGTTAAAGAATCTACTAGAATCTAGTAATAAACTTGACATTGGTAAGCAAACCAGTTTTCATGGGAAAGATTTTACGGAAAAATTCGTACATGGCTGACTTATCATGCTAATATATTCAAATTAAAAAGAATTTCTGATTTGTCTGGATTCAATGTGCGCTCATTTCTTGGAATATTAGAATGAAAGTTTGATGAGGAACAGCAGCATAGATCTCTAGAGCAGGCGTGAAGATGGAGACTTTGTTTCTGAATCTGACATCCCAGCTATGCTGCACGTTGACCCTAAGGACTGCGATGTGTAGTTCTGTTCCCGGGTCTACGTTTTATAGTCATAACAGGAATAAAACCTGTACCGAATGGGTCAATCTCGCAGTCCCAGGCTTTCAATGGGTATGCATGACCTGTTCTAGGGCAGTGCCACACGCCTCCGGCACGGGATTGGCTCTGGCGTCTCGGTTTCTGCTAGACACAGCAGGCCGCCTGGACCCCGCCAGCGGGGTGATAGAGCGGGTGTCGAGCGTCGAGGAGTGCCAGTGTCCAAGAGGTTACACTGGATCTTCATGCGAGGTTAGTATATTAGAATTTGTGTTTCCATATTACATTAATATTATTTTCACGTTGAATCCCTCGTTGATGCTCAATTTACAATTATTATTATTCTACGAAGCGATTATCGTGGCGTCTGGTTCAAACAAAGTGCGAGGGCACGTTACACATTAGTTTAATAGCAAGCGAAAAAAGGCATGAGAAAGTATAAAAATGGCTAAGCACAAGATTCATTGACTCTACGAAATAGTTCCGTCTTTCAGCGTCAACGAAACACCGGCAATGATAGAGCCGATGCTTAGGAAGCCGGCAAACAGTTCCAGGTTCTGCCGGCGGTGTCCAGGAACGCTCTGTCGTGGACGGTAGATAAACGTGTATACGGTACCACGAGGTCCACTGTTGATGACGAAAGCATTCGCCTTAAAGAAGGCAGATCCGACACGCGCCGCAGACCTTCTGCGAGATAAGTAGGTGCCTGATCGTAAAGGCACCCGAACGTCAGAATAGTGACCATGAACTGTTTGTGCTGCTGCATGCGCAGCCAGTGAATATCACGTAATATCAGCGTCACGTTGTCGAATTTTTGTTTGTCGCGCACGATCGTGCAGAAGTGTTCATTACGAAGAGCAGTTCACTAAGTACCGTGGTCAAAAGTTCATAGAGTGGCATTGCCATGGCCCAACCTGGTCAGAACCACGAGGGCCTCTAGGACCAGCCTCGCGAGACAATGGCTGAGCGCCAAAACAAGCGGTTGTGACCATAGCAATATAATTGTTCAAAGAAAGTTCGGTGTCCAGCTCAATGCCGGGGTTGCGAACTAAAGACGCAGGCGTGACGAACTCGTTTCCCACGTGAACAGGGTTGAACAGAAGCTGATGCTAGCGCCGAGCAGTCGTAAACGAAATAAGATCGTTTTTTATGCATTGAGCTGAAACCGGTAGGAATGCACCCAGTCTGAGACGGCGTCCGTGCAGAGAGACATCCGATCCTGCAACGTTGCAGCGTCAGCCGACGCACAGTAGCCATAGATTTTATTGTCGTCGGCGATCATATGCTATTCAAACTATTTGAATCGATAATATGCAACACGTCGAAAGTATATAACAGGAAGAGGATCGGAGCGAGGACTGACCCTTGCGGTACGCTGCAAGTGGCTAACAACTGCGCTGAAGGAGAGTGCCTGCGTCGAACGCGTTGGAATCTATTGCTGAGTTAAGACTCAACTCACCGCAGCACTGTGGCGTGAAGGCCGAATGATGATACGTCAAGCCAACGCAATAAAGTGGCGTGGCCGACCGTGTCAAATGCAGCCGACAAGTCTAGTAAAGCCATTGCCGCCATGTCGCCGCCGTTTATTGCACGCAGATTATCATCTGAAAGCACCTTCAGAACGGCCGTTTCCGTCGAGTGGAGATGACAGCGGGCAGGCTGAAGGCGAGACATGAGGCCGAGCTGCTGAAGATCTGCTATCGGACCACAACGCGTTCCAGTAGTTTCGACAAAATAGACAGGTTGGAAATGGGTAGACATGATTTGGCATCAGAAGCGTCAATATCTGTTTTTTTAATACAAGTGCAATGTGAGCTGATTTGAAGTTTCTGGAACAACACCGTCAGTGAGGTGAAAAGTGAGCGGTTGAAAAGTTTGACCAGACAAAGTGCTAGGGTTTCAACAACACAACTGCTTGTTAGGCAGCACGTGCACTATAGCGATGATATCGTCAGCTGTGACGCAAGTGAATTCTCGGAGCACGCAGTCGTACGGACACGACATAAATGTTGCCCACGGAGCCATCGGCTGACGACGCTCGCACAGCAGAAATTTTGTTTTCAAAAACTGCATGGAAATCTTCCACGCGTACTTCACCCGAAGCATATGACCATTCACTGAAGTAATCGATGGTCGGATATTGCGATCTCGATGAGGTCGACTGGCTGAATTGATGATCAGCACGCGTGATGACAGCGTCCAGCAGTCCGCCCACGTCGATCGTTGGCAAAGTCACGTGACAAACCATGCCGACGGTGGACAGCAGGCCGTTTGCTGACGCGCCGATGGGTCGTTGACGCGATCCAGTCAAACGTTTAAATCGCAGGTGATAAGTACAAGATCGGTGAAGGTCACAAGTTTGGTGAAGATATCGCTCAATTTGATGAAAAACTCGCGCGTCACAGCAACCGATCTGAGACGATAGTTGGGTACTGCGGCGTGCGTAAACGAGGCGCAGGTGAACTTGGCACATAGCAGTTCAAAGGTCGGGTGCCGATGTTAAGCAAGGTAAGGACCACACCCATGCTGGCGACGGTATAGCTACCCTGGCGCAATTCGTCGCTAAGGTATAGGGTTGCATTCGGGTCCGCGTGCGCTCGACTACCTGAAGTCCTTTAGCGCGACGACGCGCGATGCGTGCCAGGTCTCGGTCAAAGACGACATCTAGAGAGCGCGAGCTACAGATGTGAAGAAACTCGTCAACCTTGTTATTCAGCGAACAGGCGAACGATAACCGGCGACACGACTGCACACAGTGGCGATCAGCACGCATGCTAAACAGGTTTTAAGGCCTACGGTTCGACACATGCAAATGCTCAACAGCGTCCTTCGCAGAAGTAGAGTTCAGCGCAAATTACTCCCGCCGTAGCAACGGCTTACTTCCAGTGATGACGAACACGCACACCGTTGTCGCACACTGCTAGATAGGTGGCAAAAAGACCCCTATTTCGGCCGGCACGGCATCCACAATAAGACATGCAAAGCGTGTGGGACGGCACGATAAGTAAATCTACTCTCTCGCAGTCGGATGAATTGGGGGCTGCAGCAGCTGACCGCAGGCCAAGCTGTTGCTTCGCCGAGTAAGCTAACACGAGTCGTACAGTAGAATTTCACGTAATTCTAAAGTTCTTTGGAAAAGATAAGGCTAAATGTAAATGCTGATATCCAGAAAAAGTTATCTTTACTCGACTACTTACGTTATAGAGGACCAAATCTTTCTGTGACAGTAAATGGTAGCGCGGATTAACAATATTTATATTGAATGAGAGCTTTTAACCTTTTTCTTTGAGCGAAATTTTCAAAACGCTGTATTTGAATGGTTCTTTTAAACATGAATATTTGCTCAGGTTTCTTGCGGCAGCGTAACGATTAATTAGGAATCAGACCTTAACTGCCATTAACACCCTATCCTCTACGTAAAAAATATATATGCAAAGTACGGTATAGCGACTTTCCGAAAAAAAATTTGAATAATTTATTTGGTTTGTCTATTGCAGACTTGCGAAGTCGGTTTTCACCGGAAATCCAGCCAGCGCTTCCCGTACGGCCAATGTCTACCCAACTCCGAGTAACTATTGGCCCCACATGCTGTCTTTCCTTTAGTGTAGACATAGAAATTGAATGGCGCCGTGATACTTGAAGTTCAGGTGATAATTTTGTGCTAGTGTATTACATTTCTTTCAGTGAGTGATTGTTGTTATGACAACAAATGTCTCAACATTCATTAAACATGAATGGGTGATGGTGAGGGTGTCAAGTGAAAGAGTCGTATTTATCAACCTGGCCTCAAATATGTAACGTATGAATAACAATATATGGGGCAAATTGCAGAACGGAAGTGAACTTGGTCTTTCTTGAACTCACCGTAGTGGGAAACACGTCCTAACCACAACCTGACGTCCTAATCATAAGCTGACGTCCTAACCATAACCTGACGTCCCAACCATAACCTGACGTCCTAATCATAACCTGACGTCCTAACCATAACCTGACGTCCTAACCATAACCTGACGTCCTAACCATAACCTGACGTCCTAACCATAACCTGACGTCCTAACCATAATCTGAAGTTGGAGTTTTTGCGCCGTGCGAGTGGGAATTGTCAGGTTTTAGAATTGGCATCCCGAATGTCCCCAGAGGTCGTATTTTTCATCTTGAACACGTAAAAATCATTAAGTCACATTGTTCGTTTATGATTAAACCATTTACGAAAGTCAACGGCTAATCTGTAAATCGTCGATGTAAATAGATTTACGGCTACTTAGTGAAGACCTACAAAATAGCAAGTGGTATAAAAAGTAAGTTCATTAAGTGAGTTATTTTGACCCATTCATTTCCCTCAATGTATTCCTATTACTGATAGATTACTCCTCATTACGTTATTCTTTTGTTATAAAAATAACGTTGCTGATGACGGTTAATATATAAGTACCTTTTATATAAGTTATTATTCCATATCCATGCAACTTTTATACGATTTACTATTCAATACTTTAAGTATAATGATTGAGTTTTTAATAATGCTACGTGCTTCCCTAATGCATGCTAATAAATTGATTGACAGAACATTGCTCATTTTCCAGTATTATTCTCGTAATAATTTTTATATTCGGAATCAAAAATGAGAGCTGTTTAATTAGGACAACTTTTCCAATGAGCTTCCATGGTTTTAGATTTACAAGTTTGAAATTGCCTTTGTTTGAAGTTTGAACAAAATGTTAGATTTTTTGCGTGAGTTTAGAGATTATCCAATACAGTTAATAGTTCAGTACATATCATTGCGTTTCTGTGAATGATCAAATCAAGCTTACAAAAAAGTATTTTTAAAAGTATTTCAAGTTAGTGAAATCCTATGCAGGTACAATTTTAATTGAAGAAAGACCACAAATACAATATTAGAGGGGCAAACAAATATGCATGTATTATTGCAAAGGTACATTCTGAGATTTATTCTTATTTATTTATCTAGAGATTTCTGGCACCTTCCCTAGATAGGATCTCCCACTTTGAAACTGAGCCAGCGTTTATTATCGACACTCCGATCCGATAGCGATCCTGTACTGTGTGATGTTCTAATAGCGATCCTGTACTGTGTGATACAGGATCGCACGAATTTGGACGGTTAGTTTATTGCCTGCAATGAACAGTTCCGCTGCTGTTATCGATACTGATCAAGATAAACGGATTAGGGAAGCCGTTATGAATGTGGCTCCTGATTGTTACATTCTGCTATGTTATGACAATGCAATAAATTCTATAGACTAAAATCACACCATTGAATCAAAGATCACGAAAAATAACTCATTGCCCACATACTTGAACTTTTAAAACCTACGCCAGAGATTTCATTGGAAAAAATACTGGTAAAATTAATTGTTGCTTGTATGGTTGCAAAAATTTGCAAATTTTCACAATATCTACTTAAAAATGACGTAACGTGCAGCATTCAATTATTAAAACTACTTGACATCCCAGAATTAATCACAACTATCGTTTCCGAATGAATGAACAGTTCTAAAAATATTAAAGTAGAAGGAAGATAAAAAGTATCAAGGACCAGAAAATTTACTTAACGAATGTACAGTTATGTTCTTAACGCAGTCAAACTTCAAGAATGCTTATGTTCAAGTCGAGTAGATTGAAGAAAGCATTCTTATCTGACTGCATCACACACTGCTGGAATCAAGACTCATATATCACTTAGCCACAGTTCTGGTGGTCTAACCTATTTAGAAAGATTCTTGGTAGAAAGGAAAGAGGCGGCAAGGCGCTGCTGGGGCGATTTGAATGTCATGACCATTCCATTACCATAGTCGGCTTTGAATTTCGCCAATAACAAGTGGCAGCACATCATATAACATGAAAGATAGGAAAGGAAGGCCAGTGGAATCAAAATAAACCAAAGAAAAATTATCTCACAACGCAACTGAAAAACCCATGCACAGCTTAAACCTATAAGTGGTATCGCACATAGAATCAGTCAAAGAAGTTTTGAAATGAACGTATTATTTATTTGTAGCATTTATTTCAAGCACTTAGTTTCTACCGCACTTTTCAAATTTTTTGCCCTAGCCTATATTGTAGCTGAGGGCTCCCGCCATGCACCAAGACTAAAGCGTCGGTCTCTAGCTTTGTGCCTTCAGCTCGATCAGGCTCCAGTTGCAGAATTAAACCTTCAAGTGAAGACAACTTTGATTATCCTTCAACTTCATCTTGAAATTACCAAAACGTCCAACATCAAAGTCACAACAATTAATGAGCCGTCAGGTCGATTAATATTTGACGGTAACGAAGTGACAAAGAGATGTGGGAAATTATGTCTTTAGCAGCTATATCACTTCTCACTTACCCTCTACAGCCGTGTGTCACTCCCTGGGATCATAAATTATCCACAAACTATTGTTGGTAGCAACCTGAGGACGTCTGTACGCAACAGAAAAGATTTTAAAGTTGTCGTACGTGGCGGCAACCATGATTGAACTATACTGATACAAGGTTGACCCACGGCGATGACGATTTTTCGCGCTGTGCGCATCTCTAGAGTGACGTCACTGTTGGCACAAAATGCAAATAGGGTGGACTGACACATTGTTTTTATGTCATCTTTGAAAGCATTAATGAATAGGGAGCTACATTTGTTCAGTAAATGATGTGAAATGTAGCTGCCAGAACATAGATGAAAAAATTAGTGGTTGAGGTTTCCCTATAGCTACATTTTTTCAAGGCAACACTATAAATTTTCTGTGAGAGTATTAAAAAGTGGTAATAAAATTCCGTTCCATGATTTCATCTTGAATCAAAGTCAGCCTGAACTCAGATCTAAGTCTTTATTTAAGTTTAACAATTGTATTTTAGCCTCTCTCAAAACATCGGTTAAATGTATTCAGCCAAGAATGATTATTCCTTTCCAAAATATCAAGATTTAAATATTTCTGACTAAGTACATTAAAAATCAAACTTCTTGGTGTCAATATTTGATTTTGTTCATGCTCTTGAAATTAAGTAGCTTTTAACTCATTCCTACTTCATCTCATCGCCCGTACGTTGTTCCAAATTAAATAGTTAAAAGCAAAGAAAATAGCCAGAAAATTTACCATTTCTTGAAAAATGAAACGTTTCGGAGATCAGCTCCATCATCAGTTCAAAACCTAAAACACAGGTACAAACAATTAGCAATAAATTCACATTGAAGCAAAAATCGTCAAATGAGAAACAAACAAGAATGAAGCAAATACGGGCAGACAAACCTATCTATTCACAATTTCGAGGAGATATGAACTGCTGGCGGCATTTAAAATATGAACTGCTGGCGGCTTTTGTTTAAAATATAAAGGGACTCTAAAATTCGCAGGTCGGAAACACCGGTCGCAGAGGCTAAAATTATAAAAGCACTATCGGACGCTGGCACGTTGCACTGCTCGGCACGGACGCGTACTGCTGAATAGGGGATGCCTGTTTCCTGTTCTAAACTCCTTCCTTCATGCTCCGCCAGCCTAGTATAAAAGTTGCGAGATGTCATACCGACATCGCAGATGCGCCAAGCGCACAACTATATTGATAAAATAGGGTCGATCGCGTAGGAACAGGCTTTCGAATTTTTTTATTCAGACGTTAATAAACCGAGGCTTTCGTATTTGCTCAACTTTCCATACTATGCACTCTGAACTTGAATTTTTGCGCAGTACGTTTTCACTTAATGGGTTTCCGTCGCAATTGGTAAATACTCAAATTAAGAAATTTTTGTCTGAGCAATATTCTGAGGTTGTCCCGAACGTGACGACTGGAATGCTGCTATTGTTCATTTCCTTACTTTGGTCCCACTTCGGAGTCTATGGCTAAAAAGCTGGAAGGTTTGTTCCCTAAATACCTCCCAAGTGTAAATCTTCATGTATTGCTGGTGAATTATTTTAAAATCAGTTTTTTTAAGTATAAAGATACACTCCCTGTTACTATGCGATCGTTCCTAGTTTATAAATATAGTTGTGCGCTATGCGCATCTGCGTGTGTCGGTATGACATATCGCAACTTTTATACTAGGCTGGCGGAGCATAATGGAAGGAGTTTTAGAACAGGAAACCTGCTTGCGCATCCCCCCTTATTCAGCAGTACGCGTCCATGCCGAGCAGTGCAACGTTCCAGTGTCCGATAGTGATTTTCGAATTTTAGCCTCTACAACGGTGTTTTCGACCTAGGAATTTTAGAGTCCCTTTTTATTTTTAAACAAAAGCGTATTTTAAATGCCACCAACAGTTCATACCCCCTCGAAATCGTAAATAAATATGTTTGTCTGCCCATATCTGCTTCATTCTTGTTTGTTTCTCATTTGACGATTTTTGCTTCAATGTCAATTTTGCTAATTGTTTGTACCTGTGTTCTAGCTTTTGAACTGATGATGGAGATGGTCTCCGAAACGTTTTCCTTTTTAAGAAATGGAGAATTTTCCGGCTATATTCTTTGTTTTTAAATTTTTGATAAACTTGCGATTTAAGCAGCCAAATGATTTTAATACTTGTTCCAAATTAACGCGATCGATGATATCTTATGTTCAACAATTCAACAAGTTTAGTTCAACAATTATTTTGTCATTTTTAATCCAATCCAATCTAGTTTAATGAGGGCCTCGCGAGAAGTTAATGAGTGCCTCGCGAAAGCCTAATGAGTGCCCTGCGAGAGCCTAATGATTGCCTCGCGAGAACTCAATAAGAGCCTCATGAGAGCTTAATAAGTGCCTCGCAAGATCTTAATGAGTGCCTCACGAGAGCTCTATGAGTGCCCCGCGAGAGCTTAATGAGTGCATCGCAAGATCTTAATGAGTCGCTCACGAGAGCTTAATGAGTGCCTCACGAGAGCTCTATGAGTGCCCCGCGAGAGCTTAATGAGTGCCTCACAAGAGCAGAACGAGTGCCTCGCGAGAGCTTAATGAGTGCCTCACGAGAGCAGAATGAGTGACTTCTAATATGTTCATGAGAAAATATCAGAAGGTAAAACTGGATTAGCAGTTGTATGCTATGCACTAAGTACTAAAGGCGCATCGGCAGGGGTCGCGGAAAAGAAACACCCAA